AAGCTGCAGTTTGCTGGGATATTGTTTTGTTATAGAGCTTATAAAAACACAGGACAAAAGCATGCAATGCAAACCTCTGATAGAGGGACACATTTTTCTAACTGATCAACTTGTTACCTAAGCCCTTTATTTGGATAAAAATAATTAATCCGTTTGGGCTAAGTGATTAAAGCACTCAAGGGGGAGTTGTGTGTATTAGGGAAAACATCTTGTTACTGTGAAGTTTATCAGGGCTTAGGAAAACCTTTACTTGAATCACTGTTGTCCATGACACACATACTACTTAACAATTGTATAGTCCTATAGATAAACTCCTAATGGCTTTATCTGAGGAGCGTAAACACCCCTGGAGAATAGAAGCCCCTCAGATTAAAAATCCCAGGGGTTAAATAAAATTGGCAGATTTATACTAGTCCCAACATCCAAAAGCAATAGGGGTATTTCGGGGGGAGGAGTGAGGAGTCAGGGACACAGTATAGACCTTCTTTAGCTCCCACTGAAATGCAGGGGATGAAATTGTGGGGGAGGGATAGCTCAGTGGTTTGAGCATTGGCTTGCTAAACCCAGGGTTGTGAGTTCAATCCTTGAGGAGGCCATTTAGGGAGCTGGGACAAAAATCTGTCTGGGGATTGGTCCTGCTTTGAGCAGGGGGTTGGACTAGATGACCTCCCGAGGTCCCTTCCAACCCTGATATTCTATGATTCTAAATGAAAGGCCAGAGTGGAAAAAACAGTCACTTTCCCTTCCCAAATAGCAATGCTCAATATTATTGTTAATTATTTGTAATGTAGCAGCAGCAGCCAGGGGCCCCAAGTGAAGGATCAGGGCCCCATTGCTCTAGGCACTGGACCCACAACAACAACGACTATCCCTGCCATGAAGAGTTTACAGATTAGGTTATGTGTGGCTGGAGAGATTATTTAGAACTATTGGAACATAAAGCTAGCATTGTTACCAGAAGGTCAGAGACTCAGACCTGCCAATCTGCAGATTACCTGAATTCCCAGCAGTTAGTCAGTGGCACAGAAAAGTGCACAGGTGAGGCATGGAAAATGACGCAGAGAAGGCCTTTTGCGAAGGCAGCAGTTTGGATGCCTGCTGGCTTTTGACAGGAATGGAATTTAGAACTGTGAGGGAGGGCAGATTTGCTAAGATTTAATAGTCTCTTCTTTATCTTTCTATTGACTCCTTTTCCACTGGCGTGCTTCCATCACACACTTAACCCAACAGAGGGAGTTCTGAGAACGGCTGCCTTTTCTTTAGAGACAACCTTAGAGAGAGTCGCATGTGTGGATCCTAATTCACACAGGGAGCAGAGGAAAGAGAACAATTCTAAAATACATTAAGGGCTTCCCTACCCGGTGCAGCAATGCACGCTCCAGGGGTGTGAATTGTTAGGTGCTCTAAGCAGAAGTCCCCTAGTGTGCACTAACGTTGAAACAGGGAACTGTTGGTGGATGTCAACAGGGTCTATGAAGGTCACTTGGCATGCAATGTGTTTGTGTGTGAGAGAGAATTCACACTCCTCTAGTGCACACTGTTGCACAGTGCAGACAAGCCCTTAGAAACTCCTCATGAGGATACATGTTTGCTCCTGTGACACAAGCCAAATACCCTCACCTGTGCACCAGCTGCAGGTTTTCATGTTTTAACCGACTGTGCTGCTCTCCATTTGCAGCTGTGTCCTTTTCCAGCTCTGTTACCCTCTTCTCCAGGAAGACAACCTGTGCAAGCAAGAGAGAGGATTCAGATACCAGTATGTTCTTTCAGCTTTATTTCTCTTTCTTACAAGTGCAGGCCAAATGATAGTACTGAGAATTATTTCCACCCTGACAAAACTCAAATGCAACCATTGAAGTAAAAATTGAAGAAATTCAATTGGTTGCCTCTAAACTGAACTGTATCTTGCTCGACTTTGAGAGTATCGTGTATGTTCTGCGCATCATCATGTCTCACCTATTACTGCTGAAATGTGCCCTGATCTAGAGGAGGTGACCTCATTCTCATTCAAGAAATTTACAAGTAGGCATTCCATTTAGGTGCATCTCACGGATTTTTAAAAACACAGTTTGCACTTTGCTAGAATTTAGCTCCTAAATTTTAGAAGTGTTCCATAATACGAACACAGGGCCAAATGCTTCATTGGTGTTTCTCCTTTGAGGTCAAAGGCCACATCAGTGGTTGTCTTCATTAAGCTTTTGAACATTTGGCTCTATAGAGCCAGATCCTCAGCTGGTGGAAATCGCCATAGCTCCAATAGAACTGTGACAACGTATGCCAGCTGAGAATATGTATCACACTACCTAAAAGGGACACTATGTCCCTTTTAAAAAGAACAGGAGTACTTGTGGCACCTTAGAGACTAACAAATTTATTAGAGCATAAGCTTTCGTGGGCTACAGCCCACTTCTTCGGATGCATATGTCCCTTTTGTCCTTTTCACAGATGGAGAGAGACAAGGAAAAAGGAATAGACTGTTGCCAAGCCACAGATATTAGAAAGGGGACTCAAGGGCTGGTTTACAACCAGAAACTACTTTAAATTCCTTTTAAACATTGACTAGATTTCACTTTGATAGTGTCCCTTTAAGAGACGCTCCTGCAGAGTTGCACAAAACAAGCTGGATACATTAACTTTCCTTTGGTTATAAAAAATCTGCATTTTAGGGGTTTGAATGTTAACTTAGAATTATTTCCTTTCCTCCCCCCGAGTTACATAGCTCCCTGCTCTGCTCTCAGCCTTATTAGAAAGGCAATGTTACAAGTGCTATCAGCAACGTGTTCTTCAGACCCTTCAACCACTCTGTCAGACTGCGGCACTCAGTGTTGTGACACCATCGCTACGGCTGCAGTGAAGAAGACTGAGAATTGTCATTGCGTTTGATAAACAAGCAGGAGGTGGGAATACTTTCCTGAGGACAAAGTATCTATTTGTGTAAAAACTAAAGTCATAATTTTTGAGATAAGAACAACAACAACTAATTCTTTTTTGGATATGCCCAAAAATGAATTTTACATGTTACTTTAGAGTGAAGGACAAACAATGAACAAATCTATACCAAGTCCATGAATCCGGGGTATAAACCAAATCCTGACAATACTCTAGCCAAATGTTTCAAACCTGGGTGCCTGACGTTAGGCTACTAAATCTGTCTTTGGGCTCAGAGTGGCCAGAAATGCTGAGCACCCATAAACCCCACTGAGGTGAAGGGGAGCTGCAGGAGTTCAGCACCTTGAAGCCAGAGCACTTTGAAACAGGAGCTGAATTTCAGGCTGTGACGTTATTGACATAATCTGGGACCATATAGAACATGGTTACAACCAAAGTCCTGTAGTGGCACCAAATCTTGTATAAAGGGGGTCAAATGAGGTGTCTAAGACAAGGTTATGGTTTGCTGGTTATGATATGCTGTCTATATGTGTGTATCAATTTTGTAGTTGAAGTTATGAATATTGGCTCTATACAGTCTGTATTTCAAACTTATGCTATGTTTCTTGGAAACTTCCCAGACAAGTTGGTGTTAGCTCTGCCTAGCCTGCTTGATGGCCCATTAAGGACCATCAGCTATACAATTGACCCATTGAGAGAAGGCAAATACGCCTTACAACTCAGCAAAGTATGCAGGGACTGGCCCATGTGACTCCAGACTCCATTTTGCTGTAATTTTCCACAGTAAGGACAAAGAGATGTTCTTACACCTGGAAAAGACTATAAAAGGCTGATGCCTCAACTACATCTGGTCTTCAATCCTGCTTCTTACCTCTGGAGGGACTTTGCTACAAATGGAAGCTCTACACAAAGGACTGAATGACCCATCCCAGCTGTGGATGTACTCCAGAGACTTGATTTGAACCTGCAGTTTATTCGATCACTGCTACAAGCCTAGGGTGACCAGATCACCCAGGTCAAATATCGGGACGCGGGGGGGAGAGAGCAATAAAAAAAAAAAAGCGGCAGAGCAAAAAAACAACGCCTCCCCTTCCTCCTCCCTCCGCAAGTGCTGGAGGGAGGCCCCGGAGACGCAGGGGGAGCGCGGGGCCGGGGTTAGTGAGAGTCCGGCCTGGCCCCGAGCACAGGCAGGACTCAGTCGGGCGGTACCTGGAGGGAGAGTAGGGGGGTGGCCTGCGGGGCCAGGCGGCGGCTGTTTTCCCCACCTGGGCAGCGGGACTCGGGAGCAGCCGCTGCTACAGCTCCTACTGCTGCGGCCGGAGGAAGCGGCCCTGGCGCTCTGCGGCTGCGGCGCCCGGGCCCGAACCCCCTGAGCCTGAGCCTGTTGCGGGGACCCTGCAGCGCACACGCTGCGCGCGCCCAGCCCCTGGCCAGTCGCGTCTGGGCTGGCTGCCCAGCTGGTGCAATCCCGCGGGCGGCCCCGGAGTGGGGGCAGCCGGCCCCAGCCCCCCGTTCCGCTTGGGTCCTGCAGGGGAACGAACGGGGCTGGGCTGCCGATGCCTCCGCCCCAGGGCCGCCGCAGGATTGCACCAGCTGGGCAGCCAGCCCAGACGTGACTGGCCAGGGGCTGGGTGCAGCGTGCGCGCTGCTGGGTCCCCGCAACAGGCCCAGGGGGTTCAGGCCCGGGCGCCAGAGCCGCAGCCGCCGAGCGCCATGGCCGCTTCCTCCCCCCGCGGCAGTGGGAGCTGCAGCAGCGGCTGCTCCCGAGTCCCGCTGCCCAGGTGGGGAGATCAGCCGCCACCTGGCCCCGCGGGCCGCCCCCCTACTCTCCCTCCAGGTACCACCCGACTGAGTCCTGCCTTCGCTCGGGGCCAGGCCGGACTCTCACTCACCCCGGCCCCGCGCTCCCACTGCGTCTCCATGGCCTCCCTCCAGCGCTTGTGGAGGGAGGAGGAATGGCATGCTTGGGGAAGAGGCAGGGATTTGGGGAGGGAGCCAATGGGGGAAGGAGGGGGCGGAGTCGGGGCAGGGGGGGCGCGAGCCCTTCCGGGCTCTGGAGCCTTTGCTTGTTTGTCCAGTGTCCCGACCTAACATTGGTCGGGACGCGGGACAAACAAGCAAATATCGGGACGTCTGATCACCCTATACAAGCCTGAACCAAGAACTTTGCCATTACTGTATGTAATTGATTCCATTTAACCAATTCTAGCTCTCATCTATATCTTTTTCCTTTTATGAATAAACCTTTAGATTTTAGATTCTAAAGGAGTGGCAACAGCGTGATTTGTGGGTAAGATCTGATTTGTATATTGACCTGGTCTGGAGCTTGATCCTTTGGGATCGAGAGAACCTTTTTTCTTTTACTGGGGTATTGGTTTTCATAACCGTTTGTCCCCATAACGAGTGGCACTGGTGATGATACTGGGAAACTGGAGTGTCTAAGGGAATTGCTTGTGTGACTTGTGGTTAGCCAGTGGGGTGAGACCAAAGTCCTCTTTATCTGGCTGGTTTGGTTTGCCTTAGAGGTGGAAAAACCCCAGCCTTGGGCTGTAACTGCCCTGTTTTAAGCGATTTGTCCTGAATTGGCACTCTCAGTTGGGTCCCGCCAGAACCGCATCGTTACACAGGCATCTAGGTGTGTAAATTTTGGCCTGTGTTCTTCAATGAGACAGTATAAATGATACAGTTCTATAAATTATTGTACTAATGTGCTGTCAAATGCACAAGAAATGTGTATATGTATGCATATATATTTATTTCTCTGTCATACCCACAGCTCCACTTGTCTTCCTATTCAGGATGTCAGAATTAAGGAGCAGTTTTAAAGAGGTATTTTCACACTGGGGCAAACATTTATACAAAGCACAATTCACTTGGCTTGGAGTTTTCCATATTCCCTCGGCTATTTTTAGCTATTGATGTTTGAGTAAAGCTTTCCTTTCCCGAATGCAGTTTCTCCTCCTCCTGCCACATGATCCTTTGCTCATAAACTCCCCAGTAAGTTAACATGGAATGAAATAGAGATGTCACAAAGTCAGCATTTATAGCCTCGCTGCAGGACAAATTCTGAGCAGAACAGGCATGAGCGAAAGACAGGAAGTCCCTGTTTCAAGTCAAATAGCTTTGCTTCCTAGGAAGAGTAGCATTAGACAGCAGTGTATATAGCATTGGGAAACAATTACAAAATAAGTTGGTTTAAAATATATTTCTCAGTATTAATATTGCTCTATGAATGGTTATAATGACCAACTTCAAATACAGTGTATGCAAATACTGTACATCTTACCACCTGTGTCAGTGACATCATTCATTCAGACTAAGGCCATGTCTATATGTACAGCACTGCAGCGGCGCAGCTGTACCGATGCAGCCACACCATTGCAGTGCACCTGGTGAGACACTCTAGGATGACGGGAGAGCATAAAAACCACCTCCACGAGCGGCAGAAGCTCTCCTGCTGACATAGTGCTGTGCACACGAGCATGTATGTCAGTGTCACTTATGTCACTCGGGGGGTGGTTTATTCACACGCCAAGCGACATAAGGGATGCTGACGAAGCCTGAGACAGAGGGACAGACCTCTTCCCCCTGCCAGCATTATAAGAGGTTACAGAACACAGAGCATTGTTTAGTCAACTGTAGAGGGGCAGGAGGAGCCACAAGCCATTTACCATGAAGCAATCTTCAGCCCAAGCTGTGCAACGAGCCTCAACACCCACTGAAAAGCCTGGAATTCGACCTCCCAACCCGAACACAGCAACACACTATGCCTTTTCTGATCATTTTGTCAAATCACAACCCCCAGTCAGTACAGAATGCTTTGAGTTAACCGTCTGTTCCAAGTAGTTATCTACCCAGTGTCAGCCGGCATTCAATAATAGCAAGTAATTAACACCTCGCATTTCCCCAGTAACTTTTGTCCCAGGAGCTCGAAGCATGGTAAACCATTATTCACTCCATGCAGGAATGGGTACTCTTCTACCCTCTTAATTAATGAGTAGGCTGATGCACAAAGAAATGCCTTGCCCAAGAGCACCCAGTGCATCAAAGACAGAGTCAGGAACAGAATCTGGGTATCCTGTCCTCTTGGTTTAACCACTAGGAACATGTGCTCCCTCCTCCCAAAGGAAAACCGCTCGACGTCAAAGATAAGCTTAGCGGGACACTCAGAAGCTATTCCTCCATTAAAACTTCAGAGGCAGCTGCAATAGCATTCATACCTTGTCAGTGATGTCCTCATCCGCACACTCCATGTGGTCACAGAAAGGTTCTTCCATAGCATCCGCAGTCAGGGTGCCCGTCTGATGTAAGTGCCTTTATCCGAGACAGACCAACCCAACCCAAAGCAAGATGACCATTAGAGAGAACATTGCAGAAGGAAAAGTATCATTTCTTATACAATTTCTCTCAACTCCTCACCCCTTCTCCTGCAGGAGACATTGGGACATCACTCTCTTTTGGGTGACAGTAGGTGAAGATGATTAAACAAGGAGGCTATCCTGGCAAAATAGTGATTCTATCGAGTAGCGGGCCTCTCTTTCACCAAATGAGGCTCTGACAAGCCAACAAGAGTCAGCATCCCACAACACCTCAGTACTGCCGAACTATGGGGCAGGAATCTTCACTAGGTTTGTGACTTTTAGTGAACAGCACCTGGCTGTCAGAGGGGAAATGGACAAGTAGTGTTGGAATTTGGTGCTATCACCTCTTATTCTTGCTCTTTGGAATATGGAAAGATAAGAGCTTAATTTCCACACTTCATTTCTTTGAACTTAACACTTATATTCCAGAGCAGCAGGACTAAAAGTACTCTGCTCTCCCCAGAGATGACAAAGCCAGAAAGGAATGGGGAGTGAATTGAGCTTGTGAAATTCACACTCAACTCCAGCTCCCCAAGTGGGAGACTAGTAAATCATTAGCCATGGCTTGTAACACTTGGGTTTTTGTTTTCTTTCAAAGGACACTGTTCAAAATCAGTCTAGACATTCACCCTGTAATGTAATGACGTGTTCCACAGGAGCTGAGCGCGGTATTCCACCATAGTGGGGGTGGGAAGGGAGAAAGCAGAATTATTACAACCTTGAATAATTAAAAAACACAGGATTTACATCAAGAACTATAGATATAGAGAGAGCTGAGGATACACAGACTATCGTTTTACTGGCTCTCTCTGGAGTTTTTACATGAATCTGTAATCAGTTAGTAACATGGGTGTATTATGGCTTGTGTCCCCACACACTATGGTTAATACACTGTTTGTAGCACAGGTGCTGGAGATGGGGGGTGGGTGGGTTAAGGGGAATGGGAGGAGCAAAGGGCCATTACCTCCTCACTTTTTAAGCAGGGGGGACCATATACCCCCACTTTTGAGAATCTGAACTGGATAGGTCACAACAAGGGGAGGGGGGCAGGAACACAGCCCTTCCCTTGGCCCTTGACCAGAGCATGGAAGCATTATGATGGAGGGGCAATATATTAATAGATTCTAGCTACTTAAATGGTCACAAAGTATTGAGCATTCTCAAAACTAAAAACCATTTCTTGATAAGGCTCCCAGTCACAAAAGATGATGGTAGTTCCTTTGGTCACTTCTGCTGATCCAAGGGAGTTAAAAGTAAACAGAGCTAATCTGAATCCCTGAAGACAATCTTCTTTAAGCAAGTAGCATCCTAATTCTTAATCTGGTCTTTAAGTACTGACAACTGGCCCTTCAGTATGCTGACTCTATTCAGAAAGAAGGCACAGAATGGATCCTCTTAGAGTTTTAACATAGGTCGGCTCTGCCTTTTTACCTACTGCTTTCTACAAAAACATTTAATATTTTGAACTAAAGGTCTGGGACACATCCTTGGAAAACGCCTCAGTGTTGGATGACACGGTGTCAGTAAGATGTCAAGCACACCATGCAGAATGATTATAAAATAGTTATTGACCATAGAGAGAAAGGATCTCTCCTACTGGGAGAAATTTAGGGTTTGTGAACGAGAGCCCCTGGTCTACATTCGAAAGCTATTCTGCTCTGGCCCCATCAGGAAGGTGTATGCATCCAGTCAGAATCAAGAAGGGTTGTGTTTTTTTTTTTTAAAGCATCACAATATCACTGAACTACTTTATGCTCTTAATGAGAGCTCAACAAGTAGCACATGGAAGAATAACTTTCCAGGAAGAGGTCCATTTGCTTAAGCAGAGAACCTCTGAATTTGTGATTCTGACTCCAGCCAAATTTCTAGGTATGAAAATACCTAGAATTGTGATCTTGGATCTAGTACTCCAAAACTTTAAAATATCACATGAGAACAAACAAGAATGAGAGGATGGCAAGGGGGCAGCTTAATCTTAAATTAAAACTCTCTGATGGTATCTGAAGCAGATGGAAGAGAAACAACTTAATTGAGTGAGAGAGTGCTCAGAACCTTTGGAGTCACACAAGGTCAAATTATAAAGGCTAGTCTTAAATAGGAAGCCTGGAAACTTGCCTTCTAGCTTAAAACCACTAAAAAGCAAAAAAGTTTCTAACAAATAGCTTGAAAGTGAGACTATGGGAACCATGAAATGTAATACTCAAGACCCATTTCCCCACCAGCGAGAAAGAACCGAGTCTGGAAACATTTGCTGGTTACAGGAAAAATTAAGAAGAAACAATGTGGGAAAACAGCTAGAAAATATTTCCAAAGAACTCCTGAGCTGCTGAAAGCAGGGCAGGGAATCTGTTTCCCTAGGATAAGCCTGACATAGACCTAATCTCCAGCCCTTCCCTTGATTCCAAACCCAAGAGATTCACGGGGAGTGAAGATTTCTTGGAATTTGTTCCGGAGCTTGACTGACCCACTCAGGAATGCTGCTAAGTAAACAGACTCCTGGGATCTGAGAATACACATTTCTAGAGGGTGCCAAATCATCACACAGACTGTTCAAAAGACCAGCCCATCTTTCCCAAACATCCCAACCAGACCTGAAACTAGAGAGACCTGGAAACAAAAGAGTATGTGTAAGAACAGCAGAAACCTTCCTCTTCCCTAAATCCTCTCTCAGAGTATCAGGTAACAATGTATTTGAGTCTCAAATTAGATTTCCAAAAATCCTAGAGAGGGGTGTCAGTAAAGATTATGCCAGAGAATGAACACACGAAAATAAAAAAGGCAGGTTTGGACAGCTAGAACAAACTTTTTCCTTCAGCTATAGAAAAGAAACACCATCGAAAGAAGTATTAAAACCAACCCCCTCAAGGAAAAGATACGAAACCGACAAAATGCTATCGAGACTCAATGATCTTGCTTCCGAGAGAATTTCAGAGCAAATGTGGTGTCTGCCTTTTTGTTATACAGGGAGAAGGTCTCATAGCTTCATTGGCTAGTTGTTACAAATTTCCTCATGCAACTCTGCTGGAGAGAGAGGGATCCTTAAAGCATTACCCAAGCAGATCCTGGCCCTTCAGCGTTACAGGATTCTTCAAAACAAGATGAACTGTTTGGGAAAATTTGCACTCTCACGTGACAGTGATGAAAGCATTATGTCCAGAATGAACTGCTTCCTCCCATCCCCCATTATTGGAACCTAAATCCCTTGTGAAAATAAAGCAACAGCCCAGTCAGAGTGCTTCCTTTAACAGATCATTGCAAGAATCAGAGACAAGGGCTTGCCTAGATGGGGGAAATTTACCAGCAAAATTATATCACTACCATTATACCTGTATAAATAGAGAGGTAAATTTCCACATGTAGGCAAGCCCTAAGACAGTCCCTATACCACAGGAAACATATGCAATAATATAAAGCCATAGTTGGGGAGAGTAGCTCTGCCCCTATGTTTAAGAATTCCTAAGGAGTCCATGAAACAACGTGTGGAAGAGATGAAGAGCAAGTCTCATGGCATCCATGAAGTCAAACAGGGAGGAGCACAACTCGAAATATGGCAGAAGCAAAACAGAAACAGTGACTCTGTCTGCGTGGACTGGTGTTTTAGTGGTGTGGCAAAGGCTTAATTTCTGACTGGATGCATCTACTCAGCTGATCGGGCAAGGGCTCACTCAGCTGTCCAGGCTAGTGATACAGAAAAGCACGTACATCAGTAACTAGGAGTTTTCAACATGGGCAAAGTCTCCTGCAGACTCTCATGCTCTGGGCATCCATAGACTCGGGGGCTGGGAGGACACCCTGGGAGAAGTCACATGTAAGTCAGTCTCCAGAAGTGAATGCATTCTGAAAATATCTTTTTAATGATCAAAAAAAAAAATCTTTAAATTCTATAATGTGAATTAAAATTGCCATCCATTCCACACTGCAGAAAACGTACTGTACATTTCTCTAAAAGTAAAATTTTGCACATTTTGTAGATAGCTGTAAGCCCATTGTACATGCAACAACCTACACAAGCACATTCCTTAATGACAACAAAAGGATAATAAATGTATCAGCGTACCTTGCTACCTTCTTGCTTGAGAGTCTTTTATTTGGACTGTGAAATGAACAAAAAACAACAGGAAAACAGAGTCAGGAAAACTGAGAGTGAAGAGCAAGGGGAAACAGGAAACAAACTAAGCAACAGTGACAGGGGGCATATCCTTTACAATTAACACCACAGCACGGCACACACGAGGCATGCATTACTCAGCTTCTCTGAGGCAATCTCCATTAAAAATCCAGGTAAACTTGCACACATTTAACAACATGTCAAGATGAATTGGAACATACAGCACTTGTCATTGCTGCAGAAGTTTCAGTGGGTCCAGCAAAGTGCTCTCTCTTTTAACTCGTTGATTCCAGTCCTGAAAGCAGATCCCTAGGAAAAGTGCTAATAGAAGAATTGAGCTTGGTGGGACTCAGACCCGTTACAAATGGACTGTAGCCTGAAATATACTTGATCCACCTGGCAGCTTGTGCAGACAATGAGCCCATCTCTGAAAGAAAACACTGAAATATCCTGCTGCAAATACAAGCAGGACGACTGTACTAGAATCACAAGTATGGAGAGCAAAAAATAATAATTAAAAAGCAAACAGCTCAATGAACTATCCTCTGTATTTCATCAACTCCAAACAATTATAATTTTACTGAATTGTGTTTGACATCGGACATAGCAACATAGGTTGACATACGACTGGCTGGCTGCTTGTATTTCAGACTGGGACTTCCCCAGATTTTGGGGGTTGATTTGTTTGACCTTTTCTTCTCTCCCTCCCTCATATGCAGCTGTGTTTGCATCTAAAATCAGGAAGACTGGATTTTAAGCAAGATAATGTTTCAAGTACTAGAAATAGGTGCATTCATAAGCTATACTTAGCAGCAGCTAACAGAGTCGCCTCTTACAGAATTGTATTTTCTTTTTAAATACTTAGCATGCTATCCCAACATAAGCTATAAGGACATATCAACATTAACATCATGCTGCACAGCTTTAATGTCCTGATATAGTGACCCTCTCTCAGTGCATAGCTCAGCTATGATGATGAAAAGCACCTGGTCACAGGACCTCTTTGCTCACAACATAACAGATTAATACTTTCTTCACATCAGCCACTTGCTATTTGCCACTTCAAGTGATTTTAAAAGTCATGATTTATCTATTTTTTCCTCTTTTAAGTTTACTAACATGCAACCAAAATTAGGACTAGTTACTGCATATTGTGCCTCAAATTTCTTTACATACATTTTGTATGCTACTGTAATCAAGTGGTTGCTTAAAAAAAATCAGCTTCCTCCAGAATCTTCTCTCTTTCTCCTTTATTCACTCCCCTTGTCCCAAGTTTGAGAAATAATGGCTTTAACTTCCCTCCGCAACTGGATTCTTCAAAAAACCATGATCACATGGAAACCTGCAAGAGGATAAACTGGGACACTCCAGCGTCTACCACTGCACAAACAGAGATGGCCTCATAGGAAAGGAGACGGATTAAAATCTAAACAGAACCTTGCTCCCACCCAGAGCAATGCTACTGTATGAGAAGCGAGGTTGTCAATTTCTAAAGTTCTGATGCTCGCAACATGGTATCCCCATGTACAGGGAACTATTATAATTAATGAGATGTTGCAGATGATATGGAGCATTTATAATTAGGTATTTTCCAGAAACTGGTAGAGGTTTAAAATTTTTGCCCTTTATTCTACTCAACTGGCCAGAGTGACTTGCTGTCCCAAGCACTGAGCAAGCCAGCACCACCACCCTACAGCTTTTATGAAACAGCCTGGATGCTCAAAGCCATTAGACCAGCTCTCTCCCCTCAAATCACATAGACCTGCTAAATACCTCCCTTTCCTTTCAGGCAGGGGAGGGAGGCAGAGGGAGAAAAGAGGAAGGATCGGGGGCTACAGAGGAAACTCCTTTACAGAGAGGGAGGGTCTGAGTCACTCATTCAAAAATTTAACTTTTCTTACAAACCTATTCCCCGTTCTCACTTTCCAATATCTCCTGACATTTTTAGGAAAGATCTATTTAATTAGTCAAGCCCAGTATCATCAAAAAGATGGAACGTTCATTCCCCCACTTTCTCCTAATTTAAAAATGTAAAAGAGAAAGAAAAAATAGAAATTAATAGATCTGCATCTATATGTTCACATGCAAGGAGTAAGTAACTGGGCCAGTTTTATTTATTTTTATTGTTGCTATAGTATCACTATATTAGGGATAAAGTAAATGGTTTTTTCCCCCAAAATGTGGGGAGTTCTGAAAAAAATTCTCAAAATAAGATATTGGTGGGAGTCACACTCCAAAATCCAGAAACTTAAAATGAACGATTGGCTGAGCAGAGAGGAAAGGCAATGGACATAAAATGTAGATCACTGACTCCTAGAGGTGCAATGCTTATTTTACCCCTTAGAAGGAGGAACTAAAAATAGCTTGAACTGAATCAACTCACGAATAGTTTCTGGGAAGCACTGGCTGATCATGTTTTTCAAGCTAACTGGTTTCCTAATCGTGATTTTGACTGTGAACTTTTGACATTTCTATTGAGTGAAGGAATCACTTTTGGTGAGATTTCAAGGATTCTGTAAACCTGCTTCCCCTCTCTGATGGAAAGGGGCTAGATACTGTTTCTCCAGAACTTGTGAAGGAAAAAAAAAAAAATCAAAAAAAAAATCAATGCATGTCACTTGTATCTGAGGGAGATTAATCTGTTTTTCTTCACAAATGGCTGATCAAAAGTGTATCTGGGCATCTTTGGATCCCAGGCCTGAGAAGCCACCTGGCATGGGAGGTGCATCTATCCACAAATGGTATTTCAAAGTTTATCTACCTATTGCAATGGTTGGGTAGAAGCAGTTGCAGCTTGGCGGCAGACACACATCTGACAATGGAATCCTGGGTACATTTTAGACAGGGTTTGGGGGTGTTTTTGCTGTTTATTTCACAGCAGTGAGACTGCTCCTTTGAAGGATTTCCTGTGATCAGGGAAAGCACTGCTGAAAAAAGATCTATGATTTTGCAATGCTGCTCCTGCTGCTAGACATTTTGGCTGTTTTAGATATTTTGGCTCCTTGTTTTCTTCTGGGTGCAAGGTGTTGGTAATCATCTTCAAAGCCATCAGTGGTCCAAGGCCATTGCCTGAAAGAGGATCTTGCAGCCCCTATTCTGTCACAGCATGCAATACAAGCTGGGATGTTCTTGCTGTTCATTGTGTGGATTCAGTTCTCTCAGCAGAATGCTCTCTTCTTTGGAGTCCTTTCCCCTTGATGGGCCAACACAGCCAGAGTTTGGCTGCCTCCAGGGCAAGATACAAGGCAAATTATTTAGTCTAACATTTTGTCTATGATATTTCATTACTCTCTTGTTCCTGTGCAGTCATGTCTACCAGATCTCAGCCCAGGACACTACATGGGTTTCTGTCCAATGAGCTGTTGGCTGCCTCATTACTTCTGATATAAACAAAACTCATGAACAGGCTAGGCAATCTTTAATTTGTGCTCCATGAAGGCAGCCCTGTGCCCCCTCCCCCCCAACCCCATTCACAGAATACATGGGTGACACCACTTACACCAAATCACCCACCAATGTCACTTACCACTTTTACCTGCTCCTGTATTTTTCACTTCATACATCTGATGAAGTAGGTTTTAGCCCATGAAAGCTTATGCCCAAATAAATTTGTTAGTCTCTAAGGTGCCACATGGACTCCTCATTTTTTCCCCACTTTTCACTAGGCTCTTTTGATCTACTGTGTCCTCTGCCTGCTCTTTGTACTTCTTTGCCTTCGTGGAAGTCCACTCCTTGTAATCAGCTAGAATTCCTTTCCAAAGCAGGAGGTATTCTTGAGGATCCTATTTCTTTGTATTCTTGTTGTCATTTTTCATCAGCCTGATTCTTTCACCATTACTCTGCTCTCTGACTCTTACATCTTCACAAGATACCAACAATACAGACAACTTCGGACTTCCTGATCTTCCTTCAAGAGGTTGGCTGGCACTTGGGTTCAACTGCTTCTCCAGTTGGGTGACCAGCTTAGACTTCATGCAGTACAATGCATGTATTCTGTCTCCTTCCTGGGCAGAACATGATTAATCTTCCATGATGAGCTGTCCTTAGTTTGGAGAAAGCTATTATTTTGCAGAGCTTCTTGACTTGGTTGTTGCAACCTCTTTTATATCTCTGAACTACTCATGAGTTATTAAGTAAGTTGGAGGTCTACTTCCTCTTGCTAATCTGGGCTCTTCCACTCAAAGTAAATCTTCAATTTCCCTGCTTGCACTACTTATGTTTGTCTGCCAAATTTTAAAATAGCTGTTACCCTTTTTAGGCACTGCCTCTATTCACATTCTAGTCTGAATGCTCAGATATCTCAGTACCGGCATCCTCCTTTGTCAAACTCATTGTGTCGTCACTTCCTCCTTCTCTTGCTTCGTCATGCCCAATGGCTTTTTGCAGCTCCAGAGAACAATTTTTAAACGATTATCTGTAATTTCTCAGGTTTCCTATAGGGCTGATAGCACAGAATCACAAAATGGTGTTTGGGGTAAGTCTGTTCTGCCTCACAGAGCACTCTTGGTCAGTCAGAGGGTGTGGCTACATGAGAAAGTTACAGCTCTTTAACTTAAATCAGTTTAAAAACAGAATGTATTTAAACCAGTGAGGCTGAGATTTTCAGAGAAGCCTGAGGGAGTTAGGCCCACAATTCTGACTGAAATTTACTGGATTAGGGGCCCAATTCTCTTGGGATACTTTGAAAATCCCTCCTTAATTAACAAGAATTTGGGCTGGCCTTGGAATTCCTCCATCACACTTTAGAAACTCATAATGTGGGTAGAAATGAGGCTCTCAGCACATCAAGAAAAATCTAGCATCTTTATTCATCGACTGCATAACTGGAGATAAAGCATCAGGCTGAAAGCCTTCCTTTGAAAGCTGTAACAATTGATGCACAAAAAGCAAAAAAAACTAAAAGCTGTTTGTCATAAGAATTCAGAGCAGTTCTTTTTAGATGTAGACATACCCTAGAAATGCTAAAGCAGTGCAGCTGTTGTATAGACACTTACTACTTCCGCCGCTGTAGTAAATCCACTTCTCTGAGAGACACTAGCTAGGTGGATGGAAGAATTCTTCCATCGACTTAGTGGTGTCTACACTGGACTTAGGTCGGCTTAGCTGCATCAGACAGGGCATGACATTTTTCACAGCCCTGGCGATGTAATTCAGTTGACTTAACTTTGTAGCGTATACTAGCCCCAAGTCAATTGCCCGTTCATTTTCTGATTCACTTCCCTTTTTACATAGCCCTGAACCCTCTAATTCCACGCTGTCCCTTACAAAGGAAAAATCAATGGCAGCAATTGTGGATTCCGACATGACAAGTTAGGCTTCAGGAAGGGACGGGAGGGGGCAGTTTGGATAAATCAATATTCACTAATAACATTAGTTTCTTTAGTCCTCCTATCCAACAGATTGATTTGTAAACAACAGCTTGAACCTAAAAATCAAACCTCATGTATATAATCTACATATACTATAGGTTGGTAGAGTAATTTTCCTCTTGAAGGTTTGGGGGGCAGGGGTAGCTCAGTGGTTTGAGCATTAGCCTGCTAAACCCAGGGTTGAGAGTTCAATTCTTGAGGGGGCCACTTAGGGATCTGGGGCAAAAATCAGTACTTGGTCCTGCTAGTGGAGGCAGGGGGCTGGACTCGATGACCTTTCAGGGTCCCTTCCAGTTCTAGGAGATAGGTATATCTCCATATTATTTATTATTAAGGTTCTCTCAGTGCTTGATGACCTATATGCTTATCCAACCAGCAATATGGGATTGCAGGACATTAAACAGGGAGACAGCTATCTTACACTGATCTGAGGATGTTGGCCAAAGACCTTGAAACAAATTCCTATTTGGATGTCATGTACCATGGAACTTTTAGTGGCTACCTGGAACAGAAAAGGCTTCCATTTTTAGCGTCACTGCCAAAAGAGCCACACAGAATTCAAGTTATCTACTGTGGAAGAATGAAGGGTTGAGTTATGACGGCCAGGATTTGAACTGGTGGTTCTAGAGCATCTTGGTATTTCTGAACTAGTTGCTTGCAAAATACCCACAGCCAACTTAGCTGGCTACTCAAAATTAATGTTTTTAATTCAAAGTTGCTATCTAGCCATTTCTCCCAGTGATGCAAATAGTGTACATGTCAAACTTAAGACTTCAGTTTAGTGTTAAGAAGTCTTACTACACAGAGCATGGTAATCAAGTGCTGCATTCACTTAACACTCAACCAACAGTACATGCAAAGAGACCGATTAGAATAGAATGAAAGATTCCCATTGTCAATATCTTTTTCTCGCTCCATATTTTGGATTAATGAGACTTCTGTTTAGCTTCTATAAAGACTTCCAGAAAGTCACAGGGTAAACTTTTAAGACCTGGAGAGGCCTGACAGCTCTCTTACATCAACTTCTCTGTCAATTTAAAATGGTCCTTTTTGTATGAAGAAATCAAGCAACATAACTTGGCAAGTGAGGATGACAATGAGAGTCTCCCCTTCTTGAGAATGTTGTTCAAACACTTAGAATGCCACGCACAAAATCAATTACCTATTCATTTCAAGATCATTCAGGCGAGCAGAAAGATCCTCGAGGCGGTTGATTTGTTTGTGGCACTGGCTACAGTAAAACTCAAATGCCTCATCAGTGATAATGCTGTGCAGTTTCGCAATGAGTGGGTTGATGCTAGAGAAATCACAAGTGTCATTTTAACAGGACAGGACAGAACAGACCAATCTGATTTCATCTGTGGCTTCCACAAGTTAAGGGGATGTTTGGAAGTGTGGGAAAGTCACAAGCTTTTCACGCAAGAATTACAATAAGAAATTTCGGGGCAAATGTTACTATAAAAATATTAAATCCAAAGATCAATGACTGAGAAGTGCAACTGAGCTGGTAATTAAGCCATTTTGTTGGACAAATTGGGTCAAATCATCCCTACTGTAAGCAATCACCTCTTTCCATTCTGTCCCATGGGGGTTATGCCCACTTACCACAGGTATGGATTTGGATAATTGACTTTTTCTGGTCTCCCAATGTACCTGTCAGGCTGCATTATGTGTTACTGCTTTCTTAAACTCAGTGGGATGTTAGGACGTATGTGGGCCATTCAGCAGCATGCGGACCTACCTAGAATGGTTATCAGAATTTAGAGAGCTATCCTTTTAAACAGCACTAATAAACTCTTTCTGGTTTGCCTGGTCGGAAACAGAGCCCTAACTGACATGTTGCTGTGATGTGATTTAGTTTGAAAGCCAAATATGTTCAGTCAGACACATCATTTTCCACTGGGAATGTTCTAAAGACAGACAGATTGGAAAGCTGCTGTATGATGAAAACAGGGCAGCACACTAACAGGTAGGATTTTCATTTCAGAAGGCACAGCTTTGAAAGAAATATTAATGAAAGAATAAAAGGTCATGGGGCCAGCTCCAGACACTTCAATGTTACCTTTCTCTTTAAAGTGATGTGCAAGTGTTCACAGGATCAGCTTAGTTTTGCTGTTAAAAAGATAACCTAATATATAAAGCCCGAAGTTTGTGAAGTGAGGATGTTAGAAAAGACTTCGAAGTGCTTCACTAGCTGCTACAAACTGTAAGGGTTTGGCTTTCAGTGACTTATGTAGAACACAAGGTACTAATGAATTCAGTGACATTTGGCAAATGAAGCAGCTGATCATTTTTGATGACTGACTAAATTACCAGTGTTGTATGCAGTGTTGTTATAGCCTTAATGGACCTCTTCACCTTGAATGGTCCCTTGAAATGTGTGTTAACTACTTATGCTAAATCATCTGTTCAAACCTTGTATTTAGCTGTGCCATTGAGTTTCCCAGACCTGAAGAAGAGCTCTGTGTAGGCTCAAAAGCTTGTGTCTTTCACCCATAAAAGATACTACCTCACCCACCTTGTGTCTCTAAACTACCAGTGGTTTCACAAAAAGATTTTTAATAGCAAAAGACTATGTAATATTTCTAGGATACCATACATCCTCTCCAAATGGAAAATACTTCTGGAAGCCACAAACTTTAATCAAAGGAAGGTTAATAGTGAAAAAGCATGACATAGAAGTTTAATAAAAACAGAGAGAGGTAGAGGTGTGAGCAGACAGAAACAAGGTTAAAAGTCAAAGACACCTGAAAGGACTAGTCAGCCACGTGGCACAGATTGATACTGCTTGTCAAGCAAATGGCCTGGACCCGGAGAGGTGCCGAGTGCCATTGCAGTCAATGAGAGCAGTTACCGTGGCTCAGCAACTCCGTAACTCCCCACATTGACTTCAAGGGGAGCTTCAGAAGCCCAGTGCGTCTCAGGATCAGGCTGTAAAGTTCCAAATTTAAATTCTGTGCAGTATTCCCGAGCCTCCACATATCCTTACAGACCACACAACTCCTTCTAATAAATCATCGCTGAATGCTTGAAACCCATTTTAATTTGGGTAATGACATATTGAAGACTTCTTTCCTCCCTCTAGAGTTGACTCCATTCAGTGAAGATCATTACTTCACAGCGGCAGCTAGTATAGTTGGTAGTACTTTACAAACTAGGGGTGCTGGGCAGCTGCGAAAGGGTGACTGAAAAAAGGGAAACATCCATTTCAAATCACAAAGCATGAGAGGGGATTCTCATCTTAAAAAAACAAAAATAAAATAGATAATCTAAAAATAATTTGCTTCTGGAATTTGATCTCAAACAAACTCCAAAGGAGTATTTTTACTAGTTCATAGCCCGTCACAGACACAGAAGGAAGAAGCAATTCACCCTTTGGGTGGCTCACTACACCTAATAAGTTTGTCAGATTAATCTGTATTAATAAAAATTAACATGCTAAAATGGGAAACCTCATTGGCCAACAAGTATATATAAAAATAACCCCATGGGCAGGTCCCCCCTATCACCACCTTATTGGTAGTATTTTTAAAATAGTGTTTTAATCACACTTCAAGAAATGAAGTTATATACTAGACTACCTGCCAATTGGGTGGGTGAAGGAATCCCTGGCTGTTGGCCTCCCAACCTACACGCAGCATGCTGATAGCCCAGGGTCACCTCACTGACTGTCATACATTGCAACTTATATGAACACATTGCTACCCTCTCCCATCTTTTGGTACAGTCACTTAACATTGCCCATGTAGGGTCTGTTCAGTGCTTACAACAGAAAGAATGTTGTTAGTTAAGAAAAGTAGCCCTGGAGCCTTTTATTTCAATTACCAGTCATTTTTCAGCAATGAGTGCTTCAGTGCAGCTCTTTTGTAACTGCATGAACGTACCAGGGAGTGGGCAGAAACTCAATACGAGGAGTCACAAACACAAAGCGTTTGTTAAAGGCGAAGTGTCAATATACCCTAATGTTCCCTTCATTATCTTAAGTTTCTGATGAACCTTCTGGCGCAGGATTCCATGAACTATAGCAGACAGCTGTGATGTTACTGTTCCTGCTTAGAGAAGCTGGTAACATGGAACTGGTGATTGGAGACATGATTGTTTATGTAGTTTGTGTAAAACAGCTCAGCAAAAAAAAATTCAGTCTAAACCATTACATCCTCCAGTTCATTTCAACAAAAGCCAGCTTCACCAAACCTGGTTACATAGGGATGTTGTTTAGGAAAATAGAACATTATTCTTGGAGAAAATTCAAAATAGGGGACTTATCGACAATGCACATCTGGACAAATAACCAGGAGGGGGGGCAGGCCTACAGTTTAGTGACACATTAGGGTACAGGGTACTACTTCTGATGGCATCTTCTGCCATGATCTGGGACTTATATGGCCTTCACTTTAATCTCTCTTCTTTGGAAGCCCCGCTAATGGGTACACAGAGTAGCGGTGAACGCTATCAGGGTAATCCACATCCTTCTCCACCAGAAGGAAGATGCTGTGATGCAGAACATTATAGGGAGGGGATCAAAGCTGGGCAGATCACCAGGACTATGGGGGCTCATATGGAAAGGAGATCACATTTGGACACTGCATGGAAAGTAATAAAAATGCTACGTCAGGATCATGAATCTTAGTTTAAAATGTGTCTCCCAAATGGAAGCTACTTAGCTTGGGATTAAGTATCAGAGGGGTAGCCGTGTTAGTCTGAATCTGTAAAAAGTAACAGAGGGTCCTGTGGCACCTTTAAGACTAACAGAAGTATTGGGAGCATAAGCTTTCGTGGGTAAGAACCTCACTTCTTCAGATGCAAGTGAATCATGGTTGCCAGCTCCCTTCAGGTTGAAGAGGACAAAGTTG